ATGATTCACACCTACTGCCTAAAGAAGCTACTTACACTCTATGAGAATGTGACAGCACAAATGAACCAGCTGCACATGGATGAGACAGACAATTCTGATCGCCAGAAGGACCCAGTTCCATTGAACTACTGGCTAATAACCTGTCTCAGCACAACATGGAAGCTCCCGTCATATACATGGGGCCCAAGAAAGGGGCACAGCACCAGCTGTGATTGGGCAGTCATTCGGAACTATAAAACCAGGCTGGACTGACTACGAGAAACCCCTTTACTTAGTGCATCGCAGCTGCATTGTCATTGCTGAAATGTGTCCAACTGATTGATTTCTTTAATGACCATAATTCTCTGTGATTCTTTCAGTTTGATTAAGACCTCGCAGTTTGCTGTCCATGTTGATTACATTTTATTTTTCTCCTCAGTCTTCTTATATGGATGTAGTCACAGCATAAAGACACCCTGTGCTTCTGATTTTCAGCCAAAACTTGGACTTTTTTTTTTGTTAATTGGTCTTCATGGGTAAAGTCATTGGACCAGGCTGATTCATTAGAACAATGTAAATCTAATCATAATCATCACACTCAGGGTTACTCACAAGGTCAGGCATTCTGCACAGGAAGGTACAAAAGGAAACTGCAGTCCCAAAAAGCTAAAGCATGACAAATGTGTATTTATTGAGTAGCCAGTACCACTAAACTGGTTGGGTCTAGTGTGATTTCCACTAACTGAACTAGTAGGTGGAGGGAGGATGAAGACCTCTCTTTAAAACACAAGGCATACACATGCATGCACACACACACACACTGACTGAGGGAGGACTTAGAGGACCATGACATTGGCATCTTTTTAAAATTTGAATGGTGTCTGTAGCTGAAAGTATATGGAAGTGGAGTTGAAAGGGGAAGGGGGAGAAGGGGAACCTCATGATGTTTGATTGGTTTTTATAGGCTGAATTAAGTTGAAGTAGATACACGGCAAAAAAGGTAAGGCACAAGATTTGGGTCACAACACCGAATGCTAAATCAGCTTTCACTACAATAGAAATAACATAATTTTTAGATTTCAAAAACTTTATTGAACCCAAACGTTTGGAGCAGCAGGTAATCACAGGGATGCATGCATCACAGAAGAGGATTTTACTAAGGGAGGAGAACAAAATAACTTTTATGAAGCCAGAAGAATGAGTTTGGATGATTTGGGCAGCTGAAGAAGTGGCAGTGAAAGGTAATGGCTTACTTAAAAACAGGGAAGAATGGATCAAAGTGGGAGGCTGCTAGAAAAGTGTGCTACAATCTGTCCAGTTTAATTTTTTCCAGGGTCCACAAGGTGAGTCCAGGGGGGTAGGCAGGGTGGCTGAGAACAATACAGGTAAGGACAGGCACAAGCCACAATGTAGAGAAAGCCAGTGTCGAGAAACCAGGTGAGTGAAACAGGTAAGTATTAGATTCTTATCCCAGGATATTAATGGTCTGAAGCTCAAGTGCATGTGTCCAAAAATAAAATAAATAAATAAATAAAACACAGCGCTTCAGAAGTACTGTATCCAGGGTTGGTTCACCTGACCAGAGTCACATGGTCAGAGACATCCAAAGCTTGATTTGGTGCATTACTGCTTCAGTACCCGATTCAGGGGTTTATAAGAAAGTCAATCATGGGAGCAATTTGTAGTGTTTTTGGTGGTGATTGTGTGCAAGACATAGCAAACCAGTCTGCACCATACTGAGAGTCATGGAGCCAGCGAGGAAGAGAAGACACTCTGCGTATTCCTAAATATGTGTTATGTTTTTATTTTACTAGTTCATTAGCAATTCTACACCCAGGGCAGAAGCTTACATCAAAAACACATTATATAAGTTATAATGTATTATATATAAATGTACCTGTCCACTGCTTAATTGCATACCCACATGGAAGTAGGGACAGGTTGTTCATTTTAATTTGTAGATTCAAGTTGCTCTTTATATTTTTGGCCACCAGATGCCACCAAAAAACACTGCATTGAAAAGCTTTGCGTGATGAACCTTTTACAACACAAGCTTCAATGCTTCAGGACGCTTAATTTGGCCCAGGGCAAATTAAACTGGCAACAGGGAAACAAGGTTAACGCAGAAGAGTAAAAATGCCACAATAGCAACACAAAGAATCAATTTACCACCAGAAAGTAGCAGCATAACTAATGGAGGGCTTAAGGTCACCTGATACAGCCTTACTTTTAAGCTTTACCAAAAGAAAGTTGGAAGCTTAATATTAAAAGTAAACAGGGGTGGAGTTGTTACTCAAAGAAAGTAATGTATTATGCATTACTTGTTACTTTCTTAAAAGTAACACAGTATGTAACTCTATTACTTGCCAGAAAGTCCTTTGTTATATTATTTGTTACTATATTAATAATAACAAAGTAATATAACAATTCACTGAGTGTTTCTTCTTCGCTCACCTTATTTCACTGTTTATATGTTTATAAACAACTTTCCATTTAATCATTAGTTTTATTAATCACTGGTTTTCTTCCACAGCGTGGCTTTTTTCCCAGTCTTCCTCTCCTCACCCCCAACCAATCACAGCACACGGCTTCCCATCTGTGTGCAAGGTTGGTAGTGGCTGTACCAGTCTTGAGTTTTATATTTTTTTTGAAAATTAAAAATGGGCTTATTTAAAGCTAATTATCTTCTCTATTATCTCTCTGGGTGTGTAACCCAAAGAAAGTTTGATAAAGCAGAATGAGAGCAGCTAGGCTATTTTAAGCCTATAGAATAGAATAGAATAGAATTCAACTTTATTGTCATTGCACATGTCACAGGTACAAGGCAACGAAATGCAGTTTGCATCCATCCAGAAGTGCTTTAGCCATAATATAGATATATTACAAAATATATCAGCAATAATATAGATTTATAGATATATTACACAAATGGGTCTGTTATAAGGCAGCACGGTGGCACGGTGGTTAGCACTGTTGCCGCACAGCAAGAAGGTCCTGAGTTCAATTCCAACATCAGGCCGGGGTCTTTCTGTGTGGAGTTTGCATGTTCTCCCCGTGTTTGCGTGGGTTCCCTCCGGGTACTCCGGCTTCCTCCCACCGTCCAAAGACATGCAGCTTGTGGGGATAGGTTAATTGGATAACCCAAATTGTCACTAGGTGTGAATGTGCAAATGAATGTGAGTGCGAATGGTTGTCTGTCCCTGTGTGTTGGCCCTGCGACAGACTGGCGACCTGTCCAGGGTGTACCCTGCCTCTCGCCCTATGACAGCTGGGATAGGCTCCAGCGCCCCCCGCGACCCTAAAAAGGATAAGCGGAAGCAAATGGATGGATGGATGGGTCTGTTATAGGTATAAGGGTACAAAATATGGGTCTATTATGGGTATGTTACAATGTACACGGTATGAAGGTATGTTTTGAATATGCTATAACTATAAGTATGTACAGGCTGTAGTGGGTGTACAAGCTATGTACAGGCTATGAACATGATATAAATATGAAAACTATACAGAAATATGAAATATGAAACTATACAGAAATATGAACTGTGCAATTTATAAACAGTTGTAAACAGTTGTAGAATTATAATTATCGTATTGTACAGAATGATTGTCTATACAGCATATACAGTAGTGCAGTTATGATAAGTGAAATATGTGGATAATTTCTACAGAGGCTATGTAAAGTGCTAGTGGTTGTGAGTGGTGGTTCAGTCCATGTTATTATTGTGTGTATGAGGGTACAGTTGTCCATTTGTTTGTTTTTGTGGTGTATGTGGTATGTGGTGTCCTTCTAAAAATGATAAATGTAAACTACATAGTAGATGCACTGGTCCTTATATAACACTTCTTCTATTTAACATGACAATTCAAAAGACTTAATACAATACGCTTCATTCACACAAGCACTGCTTTTCTTCCACACTCCAATGGATGCAAGTTGGGGTTGGTATCTTGTCCAAGAATATTTGGCATGCAGACTAGAGCAGCCAGGGATCAAACCACCAAACTTTCAATTAGTAGAGGACCTGCTGTACATGCTGTACATGCTGAGGTATAGCCACCCCTGTGCCTCAGGAGGCCAGTATTAAGCCACTGGGTGTCACCTCTGTCAGTGCGCCCCAGGGTGGCTGTGGCTATATGTAGCTTGCCATCACCAGTGTGTGAATGTGTGCGTGAATGGGTGGATGACTGAATGTGTAAAGCGCTTTGGGGTCCTTAGGGACTAGTAAAGCGCTATACAAATAAAGGCCATTTACCATTTACCACTTTGTGTATATGACCTGTTAGTTATATTCTAGTTAGTTATATACAAATGGAGATTGGGATGTCTTCAAGTGACTGAACATTAGCTTTATAGATGTGTGTTAAGTGAATCTTTCAGTTTCTAGTTTTATGATGTTATTGCATCATGCTCATACAGTTTATGTATGCGATTTGTTAACCAAGCTTGCAAGTGTTAGCTGATAAGTTCAACTTTGGTCAAAATAGGGTTTTGAACATGAAATGGGAGTAACTTCAGAACTGAAAAGTAGTCCAAAACCAATTAAATTCTGATTACCTGTTGATCCCTTTCAACATGTAAATTAATAAAAAAAAAAATTGTATGTAATTTGTACAGTATATATATATATATTTTTCTTTCTTATTTTCTTTTCTAAATGTACTTGTATATTGTTCACATGTTGAAATAAGTTACCAATCAATCAATCAATCAATCAATCAATCAAGAATGGTCAATATTTAGAAACTCTTTTCTAATAACTCTTTCTTTCTGTCTGCTTTGCTTTTGTTGCAAACCCATCACCTCTCTACAGTTTTCGATTTATTTGTATGCTCTTTACACCTGTGTTTTGTCCCTCCTCTCTTACTTAGGGCGTGTCCTGTGCTTGGAGTGCACTGTCATACATTAAGTATCCCACATTCTTTAGTGACTCACAGGTGCTGCAGGTTAGACAACACGACTTGCTATTTCAGCAGCCTGTAATATAATAGTTGCCATTTACTGTGCCTGCTGAGAAGTTGTATTTTTACTTTTGTGCATGAAGGCTGGATACTGTGCGGTACTTAACTAAAGGTAACTTGTAGTGCAAAGGCACAGTGCTACATGGAAACCATCGAAAGCATTGCGGCAAATACTGCTCTTGTTAGAGCCAGAGAAGGTAAGAACTTTCTATATCCAGAAAGTTTATGTGAGAAGATGACATGCTAAAATGCTGACAATTTTTGACTTATGTCTCAATGTGGGACATGACCTCCATCAGAAGTAGTGCTTATATGGGTTATCTCAGGACACTGATTTTTCAGTCACAGTGTGGAAGAATGATGTATGATGAACCTGATCAATGATGAGTTTTAAGTCTGTTTTTTTTACTCACCAGTTCAGTTTAGTATAAATCAGTTTATCAATTTTAGCATTTCTGAATAAAGTGAAATTCTCTCTGAAGGCAACATAAATTTATTTGCTGTTACTTGAGACATGAAATAAATTTGGAGTGTGGAAATTGAGACACAAACTATGAGTGATAGTGTGTAAAGTACGTTGCAGAGTAATGTGGTTCCACAGGCTTTGTTTAATTTGTTCCTGGAGCTATTTATAGTTAACTCACTGTTGTCAAACAAGCTATTGTCTGAAACCTGAAGGACTAGGCATGCTGATTGACATCTCAGTCTGAGTTATTCAATATGTCAGCACTTTGGTTATATGCATGTATGCATATTCACAACACTAAAGAACTCCTTTTCTGTGTCCCCGCTGTCTGTAGGTGGAGGAAGGAGCTGGAAATGGAAAGAAATGCTTCGCTTTCCTAACATTAGCCAGTGCAAAGACCTGGCCATGAACATAGGTGTGTATCTGCAAGTGTGTTTCATCAGTGTGAACAAGTTCTGGTTCTTTGTGAGATTTCACACCATATATTTTATTTTATATTTCTCCATTAGAACGAGACTACTATAGTCTATGTGTGAAGGAGCCTATTGGCAAGAAACTGTTTCAGCTCTTCTGTCGGAGTCGGCCTGATCTGCAGAACTACATTTCCCTCCAGGATGCTTTGGTACAAACTGTGAAAAATTCTTTTACTGGAATTTGAGTCCTGAAAAATATTGAAAATAATGGCACTTAAATATCAGTAATTATTTCAGAAGCTATAGTTGCATTGCTCTTGTGTGTTTTAAGTAATGACATTGCAGTGCAGTGCGCTTTTTAAAAATATTAAACGAGAGATAAGAGATTAAGAGCAAAACAAATGTGAAACTAACATGAAGAACATTAGAAAACTGAGAACTGAAAATATACTTGAAGAATTACACCATAACACATATAATATAACATCAAAATAATCTATAGCATGTTGGAATTTCCATCTGTTATTTTTTCATTTCATTTCATTTCTTTCTTTCTTGATTACTGATGGACAATGGTGCATGAGACACTGCGGCATTATTAAATGATAAGAAAAAAAAAACATCAGCCAAATTTAACTCTGGTATATTCATATTGAGTAAAAAAAAAAAAACTTTAAATACATACATACATACAACTTTAAATACATTATTTTGGACTTCAGTGCACAAGAAGGTGACTCTTGTAGATACAACAGCTCATATAACCTTGTATCCTGTGCAGAAAAAAAGTGTTACTGGACAGGTAGTATCTAATGAGCCTGACCCTCAAAACACTCAAAGCACCAGCTTTAAGCAGCAGCTAATTGCCTTATCAAGTGGCTAACCACTGCAAAACTGGCAAATGTTTCAAAACAAACAAACAAACAAAAAACCCTAATATTTTTACCGTTACTTCAACTGCATCCAGGATGCAGTAGGTAGTCTCAAAGGCAATATTAAACCTGAGAAATTAGATGAGAAGTGTGCTTCTCTAAAACATTTTAACCGCCCGAGTTTACACAACATTTTGTTAACAATAAATTATTCATTGACACAAGATATTTTTAAGTTTATTGCACGACTTACAGATTGTGAATGAGCTAAACCATTTAATTTACTGGTGATTTGCTTCATGTGTGAGCATCTGTATGTCTGATCACTTAAACATTTTGCAGTAAATAGCTCAAATCACTTCAGAAAAACTGACATCAGACCTTCTGTCTGATACTAGATTTTACTGTCTAAACCCTTTGAAGAACTAACCTGTACATATAGACTCTGCATCTACATATGCAAACAATCTTAATACCTATTTTCTTCTTCAGGACGACTTTGACATTCAGTCAGATGACAAAAGGAAAGAGTCTGGGAACAGGATCATCCAGAGATTCCTCATGAAGCAGGTGTGACAATATTTGTGGAAAACATGGTTGATAGTTTACAACCGCGGATATTTTTGTTTCATTATTTTCTCCTCTGAAGTTTGAAACAAGAATTCTTATATCATGCTACACATCACTTTATCCAAGTGTATCATGTTCCCTCAGTCCAGTGAGTGTGTGTCCATCCTACTGAGGCATGAAAGAAGCTGCAAACAGAGTCTGGAGCTCAATCCCTGTGGTGATGTCTTTCATGGCTGCAGGGAGTAAGTTATATCTCTCTGGTCTGCTTATAGATGGTGATGTTAAAAAAAGTTTGTAGGGGACTCAGTGCAGTCTAGAATACTTTGGTATACACAGGAATTCATAGTCGACTCAATGACTGCAAAGTGCCCAGGTCCTGTGGTTGCATTGGTGAAAAAGGTTATTTTCACCAATCTGGCATTATACACTGTGGCCAAATGTATTCAGTTTGGTTTTGTCTGTCCAAAAGACATTGTTCCAGAAGGTTTAGGGGTTTCAGATTTATCTTCAGCTATGCCATATTTTACTTAGAGAGAAGCAAGTTTCTCCTGGGAAGCAACACTTATTAGATCTTTTTCTAATTGTACTGTTGTAAATCTTTAACATTTAGCATGCTAACAGAGGCCTATAGAGTCTGAGATGTATTTTTTGTATGTTTTGTAATTTCTTTGAGTATTGCACAGTCAGATTTTGGTGTGAATTTTCTGGGACATCCATGCCCAAATCTTCCTCAAATCAAACACATCTGAATGCATCTAACCATAACACTGCACTATACTGACTGTATATAATTTTAACTACTGGCTTAACTGGAGTTTTGCTGGCCTGATGCGATGACTATTTTTCTAATTTTGCTAAATTACTGGGATATACACAGTAATATATACAGTATGTCCAGTAGCCAATAGAAGAACTGCTTTTCAGAATCAGTTCTCTAAAGTGTGGCACATGCTGTTGAAAACTGTTGACCAATGGAGCAGATGGAGTTCATCTTTCTTTTGTGGATTAGAGACCTACATAAATACCTCAGCAACGAGCCCTTCGCCCAGTACCAGGACAGCATGTTCTTTGCCCGCTTTCTACAATGGAAACAGTTGGAGAGGTCAGTAAATGTGTATGCCCAACAAAGGTATGAGACAAATTGTTTCATGGATCAGTGGTTAGCCAAGTAGCTGCTGTTTACAGTTCTTCTTAAAAAAATGTATTTACAAAAATATTTCAAATGAAAACAACATGTCTGTCTCTTTCAAGGCAGCCTATCACGAAGCACACATTTCGACAGTACAGACTACTGGGGAAAGGAGGGTTTGGAGCGGTATGTATGTTTTGGGATTCTACTCTAAGACACAGTGTTAGCATATTAGACACTTTATGGTATATGTTTTTGAGGTATGTCTTTACCCACGGTGTATCAAAATGAAGGTAGTTTTTTTATTTTTTATTTTACATACACACTTAGATATTCCCTTGGGGGAATTCATGGACTTAGACCTTCACAACACAGTTCTACACCTCTGTTACTCTTTATTTCCTTTACATATATTAGTATACTTTCACTTTGCAGCAACCTATTCTTTTTTGACATATTGAACAGCTCTGATACTGGCAACAGCATTAGATACAAATTTATCACAAGGGTGTTATTGTCTTACAATCCTGTTATTCTGTCTTGAGGTGTGGGCCTGTCAGGTGAGAGCCACAGGCAAGATGTATGCCTGCAAAAAGCTGGAAAAAACCCATGTAAAGAAGAGGAAAGGAGAGGACATGGCTCTCAATGAGAAAGAGATACTACAGGAACTGGACAGTCGCTTTGTGGTGAGACTGCTGTGCTCTTCAAATATTTGCCTCATTTTTTAATTTGTCAATTTTTTTTTTTACATTTTTACATTTACAAACTAGTTTTTGTTCATTGTGATTGTTTTCACATTGCCTTGTTCATTTTTTTTTAAATCAGTATGTTTGTTAACCAGTGTTATCTGTGTAAGCAAAGTTGGGTTATTCTTAAAAAGCAAATCCATGACCTACACTGTTACAATGGTTGATATTTCTTTCTTCTTTAAAATAAACATATACACTGTTATTGAGTTACACTGTGACTAAATTCAATTCACTTCAATTCAATTCAATTCTATTTTATTTATACAGCACCAAATCACAACAACAGTTGCCTCAAGGCACTTTAATATTGTATGGTAGACCCTACAATGATACATACACAGAAAAAAACAACAATCATATGGCCCCCTATGAGCAAGCACTTTGGCGACACTGGGAAGGAAAAACTCCCTTTTAAAAGGAAGAAACCTCCAGCAGACACAGGGAGGGGCGGCCATCTGCTGCGACTGGTTGGGGAGAGAGAGAGAAGACGGTAAATGGTAAATGGCCTGTATTTGTATAGTGCTTTACTAGTCCCTAAGGACCCCAAAGTGCTTTACACATCCAGTCACCCACCCATTCACACACACATTCACACACTGATGGCAAGCTACACCCACCCTGGGGTGCACCGATAGAGGCGAGGCTGCCGGACACTGGCGCCACCGGGCCCTCTGACCACCACCAGTAGGTGGGCAATGGGTCAAGTGTCTTGCCCAAGGACACAACGATCGAAACTGTCGGAGCCGGGGCTCAAACCGGCAACCTTCCGATTACAAGGCGAACTCCCAACTCTTGAGCCACGATCACCCCAGACGGGATAAAAGACATGCTGTGGAAGAGAGACAGAGATTAATAAAGCTTAAGCTCACACCGAACTAGACATTAATAAGCAGTTCAAAAATAGTCTTTACAATTCCATCATAACTGACACTGTTTGAATGTTTGAACAAATCATTTAACAAAAATGATCTTTACTGAATGTTTATACAAGGTATTTTTACAGTGAAGAGAAGTTCATCCTGTGACACCGATAGGAAACCTGTATAGGGTATACCCCATCTTTCACCTTATCACAGTTGGGATAGGGATAATGGACATGAACTCTTCTCTATGTTTTATAAAAGACACAGAAGAGGTGGCTGTGACTCAGGAGGTAGAGCAGGTCAATTATTAACTGGAAGGTTGGTCGCTCCTGTCTGCATACTCACCTATCCTTGAGTGCTCAAGTTAGGCAGAAAAGTACCAGTCGATCTACTATTTATATATGCTTAATTCAAGACTCATCACATCATTCAACAGGTTTTATACATGTTCTGACACACATCCATCCATCAATTTTCTTCCATCCATCCATCCTCTTCTGCTTTTATCCACTACAGCGAGGCTGTAGCCTATCGCATCCATTACAGGATGAGAGGCTGGACTAACAGGGCTAACATTGAGGCAGACAACTATTCAGACTCATCATCATCTTTGAGCTGTGGAAGGAAGTCTGAGAACTCTAAGAGAACTCATGCAGATGAAGAGAGAACATGCAAACTATACACAGAAAGGCCTCGGACTGGATTCAAACCAAGGATTTTCTTGGTGCCACCATACCACGTCTCAGCAATATAGCTGAGTATAAAATAATCAGGGAAAGAACAAGTTCAAAAGCAACCTCGGTCAGACAGAATTCTGTTTATACTGATCTACTGATTCAGATGAATTTTGTGATCAAATAGTCTTATTTGCCTTTAGAATGATGTCAAGTTTTTATAATCAGTGAGCACAGCTCCATTTTTCTAAAATGTGTATTTGCAGTTTCTTTTAACCTCCTAAGACCGGAACTCTTCCATGGCACGCATTTTTAATTTCTCTTTGATATTTGGGCTGATTGGGACCCGATGAATGTAAAAACAAAGAATTACCAGATTTGACAGACTAAATAACCCAAAATGTGATGTCCACATATGTGGATGGTCCTAGGAGGTTAAGGATAATGTTTAATCCTTATGATTGGCTTTCTTTCATAGCGAGTGGTGTTCTACACTGAATTATACTGAATTGTTTCAAGTATTTTGTAAAAGCTGAATTTATAGTATTGCTGATGCCTTAGTGAGTTTTGTTTTCTTATTTTTGTTTTATTTTTCTATTGTTCAGGTGAATCTGGCATATGCTTATGAGACCAAGCACAATCTCTGTATGGTTTTGACCATGATGAACGGCGGTGACCTAGGGTTTCACATACATCGCATGGGGTCACCTGGTCTGACCAAAGACAGGGCACGTTTCTACGCTGCAGAAGTCTGCTGTGGTTTAATTCACCTCCACCAGAAGTCAATATTATACAGGTAAGTGTATTTCTACATGCATTAAATCACATCTCTACTAGTCGGGAAGAAGTTTTTAAATGCTGTGTTTCTTCTAGAGATTTGAAGCCAGAGAACATTCTCTTGGATGACAATGGTATGCGCAACTACAAAACAGTGTTTTTTTAATCATTCATGTACTATAAATAGCCTCAAATTTACTACAGTAACATCCAAGCAGATAGCATTCCAACATCCACACATAGCAAAAGCTGGCAGTTACTTTCTGGCTATTTTTAACTCTGAAAATAATCTGACTGTTTGAAATGCCACACATTTGCTTATGCAGCCTATCAGAAGCATCCACCTGCTCTCAAGAAAAATCTGTGTTGATTGTATTTTGACAGGGGTAAAAAAAAGAAAAGAAAAGTAGTTTGAGGAAGTAAAAAAACCTGTTATCTATTTATAGAAACTTCCACACCTGTTCCTTCATTCTTGGAATAAAAGCAACAGTTGTAGTTTCCCATTGCATCAGCTGGAGAAAAGTGAAGCCTAACTTGACAGGGCAAAAGTGAAAGTATGTGAGAAAAATAATCTCAACATTCATGCCATTTCAGTTAATCTTACTTTTTTTGTTCCATTAAGGACACATCCGCATCTCTGACCTGGGTTTGGCTGTGAAGATGTCTGAGGGGAGTCTAGTACGAGGCAGGGTGGGCACACTGGGCTATATGGGTATGTATGGAACTTCTACAGACCCACATAAATCACTAGATTATATGAGTGTGTTGGAAAACAAAGCAATTTATTTTTATGATTGTATGACTTTTATCCATACCTCTCAGTGGTGCTTACTGGCCTGCACACAGATGGATGGACTGCTTAAGTACTTACATAGAGTTTATCTATGTAAGTTTATCCATCACAAAGTCACTAATTGAAATTTAAGTTTATGATGCAGTTTGCATTGTGCTGGGAGCCCGTGATTTGTAGACCTGATTGTTTGTTTTAACACATCAGAAAAACAACAGAAACAAAAAATCAAACAACTGTCAATAAAATCAAAGCAAAACAAATGGTGATTTTGCTATTTTCTAAGGAACTTTGAAAGAAAGGAATTGGAATGGAAAGTTTCTTGAAGATGTTTCACCTCTCATCCAAAAACCGTCTTCAGTTCTAAAACCAAATGAGTCCCAGGTTTCTAAATCCTTGTGGGGCTTGTCACTAAAAGGGTTGTTGACCCACTATTAATTGTGTCACATGAGCCAAGGTGAGAAAAAGGCGTGGATCATGATCAGCAGAGGTTTTGAGAGAAACTAATGTGATACCTTGGCTCACTCTATTAACCTGAGGTTAATAGAAACCTGAGGCACCTGGGAATAGATCTTAAAATTGCATTGTATATGACTGACAGTTGGTGTCACAAGCCACCCCCTCTATTCAATGATGGTCATTCACAGTGAACATGGCATCTTTTACTCCTCTTTCAAACAATCTGTCTTCTCAGTTCAGAATATGAAAATTGGCATCCTCAAAAGATTGACCTTTAACCTTTAGGTGCAGATCTTTAGCTGGTCTTGTCCTGCTATGTTGTGCCATGCATTGATAGGATGGCTGTTTGGTGTCTCCAATGTAGAATCTCTGAATTCTTGTATTGTAATAGTTTAAAACTTTCAAATTACCTGATGCTGTCAACTGGATGGGAAGAAAGAACCTATTATGACTTTATGTCTACAGTGCTTTCAGAAAATGTTCACAGTGGTTCACTTGTTCCACATTTGTTATGTTACAGCCTATTTCCAAAACTGATTAAATTCATTTGTTTCACCTCTACACACAATACCACATATTGACAAAGTGAAAAAATTAGCTTGAATTTTTTATTTTTATTTTTTTTAGCAATTTTATTAAAAAACAAAACAAAACAAAACTGTAACTTAACTACCCACAGACTTTGCCATAAGACTCCAAAGTGAGTTGCATCCTGGTGCACTGGTCAGATGTTTCTATGACTTGATTGGACTCCACCTGTGGTAAAGTTACTGGGACATGAAGCCATGATGTCCAAGGAATTGTCTGTAGACCTCAGAGACAGGATTGTATTGAGGCACAGATCTGGGGAAAGGTACAGAAAGATTTCAGCAGTATTTAAGTTCCCAATGAGCACAACAGTCTCCATCATGACATAAAAGGAAGAAGTGTGGAAGCACTCCAGCCAATCTGATCTAAATTGAGGTAGAAGGGTCTTAGTCAGTGAACTGACCAAGAAGCCAATGTTCACTCTGGCAGAGCTCCAGCATTGCACTGTGGAAAGAGGAGAACCTCCCAAAAGGATAATCATTTCTGCAGAACTTTCAGACAATGAGAAATAAAACTCTGGCCTGATGAAACAAAGATTGAAATCTTTAATTTGAAGTGTCATGTTTGGAGGAAACTAGGCACCAATGATCCCCTGACCAATGCAATTGCTACAGGGAAGCATGGTGGTGGCAGCATCATTCTCTGGGGTTGTTTTTCAGGAGCAGGAACTACAAGACTAGTCAGGGTTTGGTTTTTAATAATTTTCACGACATGGAAATATAGACTGACAGAGTACACAAGAATGTTGCCTTGGCAATAAGTAACAGCAGCAAAGCATAAAAAGATTATTCGTTTGCATTCCCATTTCAGCTCCTGAGGTGATCGGCTATGAGCGTTATGGAATGAGTGTGGACTGGTGGGGCCTCGGGTGTCTGATTTATGAAATGACTGCAGGTCGGCCCCCTTTCAGGGCCAAAGGAGAAAAGCCTAAATCCTCAGAAATGGAGAGAAGGATTCAGAATGAACATGAAGAATATGGCAACCAGTTCAGCAAGGAGACAAAAGACATCTGCTCCTTAGTGAGTTCTTCAAAATGAAACTATTTTTATTTCAGCATGCACAGAAGATGTTCTTTCATCCACATCATACCTTTATTCCCTGATGTATGTCAGATTGTTTATTATTTAACCAGATTGTTAAGACACGGTACAACAATTTCCAAAAGCCAAGTCACATTCTAATAGGATAGGTTCAGGGTTGCTTACACCTTCTCAAGCAATGAGAACACCTTTCTTTCCACTATTGTAGCTGCTGACCAAGGACCCCACAAAGAGACTGGGCTCCCAGAAGTCTGGGGGAAAAGATGTAAAATCTCATCCTTTCTTCCAAGAGATCAACTTTCGGATGCTGGAGGCAGGATGCGTTGACCCTCCATTTAAACCTGATGTAAGTACCCAAATGAGATATCTATATCTATAGATTGATAGAGACAGTTATCTAGATAGCTAGATATGTATGTATATGTGTGTGTGTGTATGAATTTGAATTTTGAATATGTATACATACATACATACATACATACATACATGATTACATTTATGTATTTAAATTGGATTCCATTTAGCTGGATGTAGTGTTTTCAATGTAAGAAACATCTTGTCAAGTGACTTTGGTTTTTAAAGAGTATGTAAAGTACTTAAATAAAAACTGATCAAATGTAGAAGTGTTCATTTTAACAATCTTAAAGCCGTTTAAATTTGTACTCACTGCATGTGGTCTTTTATTTTTAGCCCAGTCAGGTGTACTGCACTGATGTACAGGACATAGAAGAATTTTCTACAGTGAAAGGAGTCCATTTTGACCAGACTGACATCTTCTTCTACTCCCAGTTCAACACAGGAAGCAATTCCATAATTTGGCAAAATGAGGCAAGTTCTAGGTTACATTACCAGGGTTAATCCAGACAAGAGCTTCAAACCTCACCTTCCTTCTCTGTCTTCCATGTAGCTAATAGAAACGGGATGTTTTGAAGAACTGAATGTTTTTGGCCCTAAGGGATCTGCATCTCCAGATCTCATCTGGTCCCAGGCCCCAGAGAGCCCCAAACGCAGCCTGCTGCGCCGAATCTTTCGCAAAAACGTAAGGACATGAAATACATTCTGTCAAAATGTGTGCGCTTTGTGGAAAGTTGAAGATATCTTTCCTCTTTTCACTCAAACAGCATCATTCAGATTCTGACGAAAGCAGAGAGAACCTGTTGTCCAGTGAGGGCTACAGCACATCAGGAATACATAACTCTGCCCTGAATCCCAGGAAAGTCTACAACAAAGACACCAAAAAACAACAAGTCATTGTAGCATCAAAGGGTTCTTCCCTTTAAATCGCAGCACAGCAGGCATTTGTGTTTTCATTGTCTTCCTTACACCTAATCTGTATTAGCATTTTCTGCTTCTCTCAGGTAAAACAAATGAATAATTTTACACCATCCCAACTTTTTAAAAGTACTTGAATTTTTAAACAAGTGTACTAGTATATATAGTATATAGTACTAGTATTTTTTTTTAACAATTCCAATATAAGAAATGTCATCTGAATAATAAATTATGTGGAATTATCTGGATTAAATGGGTCATCTGGACGTCCAGACGTGTTCAGACCTTTTGGGATTTCTTTACCTGGATGGAGCATGCATCAAGACATTAACTTGTAATAATTTTTAAATTAAAAAAGCAAGCTTGAACCAGATATTTGGCATAAACATAAAAACTCAAAGCCGAGTCAGCAGTTAAGCAAGGTTCCTGGTAGAAGTAAAGAGGCAAGGGGGACCTACTGTTATCTCAGGTATATTTCAGGGACACAAATGAAGATTTAGGTTGGGGAAAATTGTCAGCCATCCAACTTTTAATAGAGTCTAAGCATCTATTTGGATGCCTTTAGAAAAATCTTGGAGCTTAAAAGAGATATTTAATTAGATGTCATGTTCAGCACAATTTGAGCACCTTTAAGGGCACGTCTTATCTCTGCTAAGAAGAGGGGAAGATATAACAGAAACAATAAAGGCTCCAAAATAGAAAGGCCAACTAACTAGGTAGCACTTTTCACAGAGTAATGCCCAACGTATCCAAGCAGGGACGTGTGAGAAAAACTCCCCCGCAGGGGCAAATGGTCTGAGCATAGTTAACCAGAAACGCTTGCTTGCTAACCAGGCCTCGTTTCCACAACAGGCTGAGTTTCACATGGACGCCTACTCTATTCTGTTCTACTCTACAGTGGGAGTGGGACAAACTGCAGCCGTCCGCATCAAAGCTAAATACCAGGGCTATCATTGTGGAAGTTTACTAGCTGCCACTTTGCTCTCTCTGGATGTTTTTTTCCTCCAAATGGCACAATTAGCTACTGGCAGCACTAAGTGTTTGGTTAGCTTAGACAACTATGCTCAGCTTAAACTGGTTTGGCAATGGATTATGGACACAGAACCAGGCGAGTTACTGGTTGCACGAAGCAGCAGGGGAACTGTAGCTAAACTGAGCAGCACCCAGAGCGTGGAGAACCAATCTGAGCAAAGAATGAATGACATCTGTGGGAGCGCAGCAAAATCAAATGGGTTTTAGGCCTGAAGAGTAGAGGTGGTGAAAGCTGCACACTGAAACAGAGCAGTGCGGCCGGTGAATGAGAAAGAGGTTGTTTTTGCTTTTACAATAATTTTTAAAATGTTTATTTTGATGTGGCCAGTTTTAAAATGCAGACAGTGACTTTTGATAAAGTACATTTGTAACTTTTCCACAAAGCTCTTCTTTTACAATAAACAAATTGTTCAGATGATAGGTATTATACTGTTTTTTTGTACCATGTGTTAATAGGTTCTAAAATATATTTCACCTTCACTCTCTGTAATGCAATATTTTTTTTTGTAAAACTTTATAAAAGCTATAAATTTAATCCTAAATCTGACTTCTAATTTGGGAAAAATACCTTTTTCAAGACATGAATTCCTTGCCATTACTTTTGTTGCAGGATGGGGTCAAAATCTTCCCAGTGGTATTGAACATTTTCCTTGGTAGTGGGTCACTGATGGTATTCATTACAGCTCATTCAGACACAGTATAGGAGAGAAACTGTGTATAAATTAGTCTTTGCACATCATTGATACAAATAATTTCAAAGTTCACCAGTAAAGCAGCTCCTTAGAAAAAGGCTGAGTGAACCAAAAAGACCATTCAACAAAAAACAGATTTAATTAATCAGATAAACTTGGATGTGGAATTTTTTAATTAAATTTAACCCAGTGTAAAAAAAACACAAACAAATAAAATTCATCCAAAAGAACCAATAACAAAGACTTTCATTTAGAGAATAAGTGAAATGGTGAATTGGCTCTGTTTGGCTGCAACAACACACACAACTTCATGGTGCCAAAAATGTGTTGAACTAAAATCTTTCTAAAGCATAACAACTTTAAAATATACACATTTGAAACCGGAGCACCATAAGTAAACTAATTCAGAAAAGCCTGATATGGAACTTCTCCCTATGGTAACAATGATATGCAGCCCACAGTTAGGTGTCATTTTAAATGTTTTATGTCTAGGAAGAATTCATTCAGCCCATACTGCTGACGATATTTTAATATTGCAAGAGCTGAAATGCTGCTTATTTGACCTACAGTTTACTGCAGGCACGAAGTGTTTTCATTTTGGCTATCTAAAGGTCGAACAATGTTTTTGACTCAGGGGTGTGTGAATAGTCAGTTCAATGTTTTCACCCCTCCCATGGAGGACTACGTCGTCCATCCACCTCCGTCTCCACATGGTACAGCATGTCAGCCAGAGTGTGTTCGATCACAGCTCCCCAGCCCATGTCACTCATCTAAAAGTAATCAAACAATGACTCAGGAAGTTTCAAGATCATTTGGAGAAAGTTGGGAATCTTAAAAGGTATGAAGTTCTCACCGGCTGGTACTTAACATCCTTTGGAGGGTATTTGAAGTGGGGTCCAAAATTGACAGAAACCTGAAGAGAGGTAAGGGTATACTTAAAAAAACAAAAACAAACCCTTCCAACCTTAAAATCAAATAGATCATCAAATGTGCAGGTGTACTCACTGTGCAGCTCTTGTATAGTGAGATGGCAGGGAAGTAGATGCCCTCAAACAGGTTTTCAAAGGCAACACCTTGGTTCACTCCATTTTTGTAGAAAATCATCTGAAAAACAAGAGCTGGGCCAATAAGAGGTAGGTAGTGGAAAATGACAGTAGGTTTTCTCCACTGGAATTAATTTTGAAAAAATGTTCTAACCCTGCTGGGACTCATTGCCTTGAGGCTTTTCTCTGCTTTGTCCACATAGTCCTTCTCCTCAAAGTACAGGTAACTCTTAAACTTAATTAGTGCCTGAAAAGAGAAACTGGTTTTAGATGCAACTAGTCCAAGAAAGACATGAAAACATAATGAGGAAAAATAGAAAAAAAATAAAATAATATAAATATATATTATTTTATTTATTCCAGCCTAGTAATAATACTGTTAATTTGTGTAATTTCTACAACACAAATTCTGGCTCAGAGGAACACATCTATCATTCCAACAGTTGCTGTTCCTTTAAAAATACTGGCAGTGGTATCCAGAGGTATAAATCTGATTGGCATTTATATCTCTCTTGTATAAGTAACATAAAGAAGAGATGCAAGTAAGAAAATGGGAGTTGGACAAATGAAACACAGCCAAGCTCTCTCTTCTTGGGACCATTTTGATACAACTGCATGTGACAGAAATGCAATGCTCAACACAAGAAGAAATCAGAAGTGCAGCTGATGTAGCTGAGGTTACCTTGTCCTTGTATGTATCAGGCAGAGCCTTCGCTGTCTCTGTGTCTTCAGGCAGCTCTATGAAGAAGCCCAGTGTGTCTCCCTGACTGTAGCCTGAGGAATAATGTTTTCCTAGTGACTGGTGAAACCGCGTCCCTTTCTTACTGCGCCAAGAGTAGCTGAACTTGTCATAACCCAGAGGCGCCTGCAGGTTACCTAAGTTATAAATAAGATCCAACATGTTACATATTGTGGTATTAACATTTTGTCAAAGCAGCTGAGTATCTAACTCTATATTAGGGCTGCCAGATTATGCCAAAAAATGATATCCACTATTACTCTGGTAAAGAGTGACAACACAATTTATTATTTAAATTGAAGGGAATATATATTAACTGAAACATGAGTAAGGACAAACAAACCTTAAAGCTGAAAGGAAAAAGAGGACCTGCTCTGATGTATATATCAATACATAATAATGGCAGATACTCATTAAACAAAATTTTGAGGTTTGTGAATTTCTTAGCCTCCCATCTAGTTAGGAGTCAGTCAAGACACAGTATACACTAGGGCTGGGTCATATCATACAGTTCACGGTAATACTGGTATAATGTTGGGCAACGATAAGAAAATGAAATATTGTGATAGAATATGGGTAAAACTCGCATGTGCAGTGCCTTTGTTTTCATAGGCACATGGCAGAAAAAGCATGGCGGACGAAAGCGGATCGTTGAATGAAACGGATGAACCAGAATTGGTTTGTAAAAATGTTGCAACTTCAGTGGTGTGGAACTGGTTTAGCTTT